GGGCGGTGGCTCGTGCTCGCGGTCGCTGTGGTCCCGCAGGTCGGCCAAGGCGATGGCGGGGGGTGCGGGGGGCGGCGGTGGCGGGGCGAGGGCAGGGGGTGGCACGGGGGCGGCACGGCCCATGTCCCCCCCGGTCAGTGCCCCCGCCACCAGCGGCCCAGCACTGGGGCCGGGGAACCGGCCTGGAGCCCCTGGGAAGGGTCCCGCCCCCTCACCCCCCGCTTCCGCCGGCGGATTGGCCAGCACGTCCAGCTGCACGTTCTGGTTGGCCAACAGCGACTGGACCAGGCCGATGCTCTGGGTGGGCGACATGGCCTGGGCCGAGCTGTGGATGGGGGCGATGGGGATGTTGACGGTGCACGGCGGGCTGCTGGCGGGGGCTCCGGGGGCGCCGGGCACTGCAACGAACAACACAGCATGTCACCCGCCAACCCAGCCCCATGGGCCCCTTGGGCCACCCCAGTCCCAGCCCCAGGCCCAGGCCTGGAGGGGCGAGTGGCCACAAGCCTTTGCTGGGCACATAGTTGGGTAACGAGCAATAAATAGAGTATTTTCCTGAAGCACTATTTCAAATACGTATTTTGGGGTTTTCTTTCAGCCTAGAGAAAAGGAGGCTGAGGGGAGACCTTATCACTCTATATAACTCCCTGAAAGGAGGGTGTAGAGAGGCAGGGGTTGGTCTCTTCTCCCAAGTCACAGGTGACAGGACAAGGGGAAATGGCCTCAAGTTGCACCAGAGAAGGTTCAGGTTGGATATTAGGAAAAATTTTGACACTGAAAGGGTTATCAAGCATTGGAATGGGCTGCCCAGGGAAGTGGTTGAGGCACCATCCCTGGAGGTGTTCAAAAGACAGGTTGACATAGTGCTGGGGGACATGGTTTAGTGATGTTTTTTTGTCAGAGTTGGGTTGATGGTTGGACTAGATGACCTTGAAGGTCCCTTCCAACCTAGATGATTCTATGATTCTATAATTGAGGAAACATGCGGGCCGCTAGAAAGGTTTAATGGAAAAATTTCATGGCAGCGTTTACGTAAAGTTCAGAAACTGGGGGAAATTGCTTTCTGACGCTTGTTAGAAGAAAAAACACTCCGCGCCTTTTGTACTTTGTCGCTCCACTTCACCTTTGACTTTTTACCTGCTACCTTCACGTACTTGCTTAAACACTCTGCTGCATTTGGATGGAGTGCTATCAGACCCCAAAATCAATGGATCAGACCTTAGTTTGCACGAGTAAGCCAGTCTGTTTCCATTGATTCCCATTGCACAATATTTATTTGTAAAATAGCTGCTGATAAAAAGTGACTTCTTGGGAGGGACGCTTTCAGGCTACGCTACCATTCCCATAGACTTTCAAAATCTGAATTACCACTCGCTCGTCATCCAACTTTAATTACCTCTACTCCAATCAAGAAAAGCTTTGCTGAGTTGGGACTCACTAGTTTTCAGAGAGGGTTTTTTGATAGTAAATAAATCAACAAACGATAGAAAGGATAATCCACTCAGAAACCCATGGTTGCCCCTGGTCCTAGCCCTCTCTTTTTAACCCCTAGTCCTAGGACCACTAACGTGGCTTCCTGACTTCCTCTAGGGCTGCTGCTACCTGATGGTGAGGCACAAAAAAAGTCACTGCCAGCCAGAGCTGGCTCCCTCCAGAGCCAGTCGGGTATCACTGGGCCAAGTTCATCAGACAGCAGCTATGAATTTTGACTTGGATGTTTGTTGTCACCCAATACAACAAAAAAACCAAAAAACAAATGGAGGAAAAGAAAAAGAAAGTGGAAGACCTGCACCAAAGGCACTGTATGTATAATATCTAGTATGATGCCCCTAGACTCAATGAGCCTGTTGTCAACAAACAGTTGACAAAAGGAATATATTATTATCTCTCGAGTACAGTGGGTGACAAAGGAACCAGGAATGCAAAAAGAAGGTAAAACAAAGAGAGAGAGAGGAATATGATGGAATGAAATACAGACAAAATTTATAGAAGTTCTTGAAAGAAGATTTGTGCAGAAGAGATGTGGGGAAATAGATGAGAAGCCAAAAAGATGCAAGAAGTGGGTACTGCAGTCAGGGCAACTTCAGCATCAATGTTTGGACAGGCTGCAATTAGAAATGTGAAAAGAAGCAAATGTATATAGGAAAAGTTTCCCACACGTGGTGGTGGTGAACAAGGGGCACTGAGGTAAGAAGCCAATTCTGATGATTTTAAGTAGAAGCATGGAGCTTGCTCAACTGTTTGCAATTTGTTTTGCAAAAAGTGATGAGAGTGATTCCAACAGGAACTACCACTGAAAAGCTGGAGTATGGCAGGAAAATGAGGATACTGGAACCAAGTACAGGTGCAGAAGTCAAGATAAGAAGGAAAAAAAATATAATAATGAGGGGAGACAGTAAATACTGTATTAAAACCCCCAAGGACATTCTTTATTAGTTTTTCAGTATAAAAGACATGGAAAATGATAAACAAGTTGCATCAGCAGGTTTATGGGAGGAAAAGAGACTAGACTAATATCCAGGATCCTAGAGTCATATCCAGGATCATTTAAGTGTGCCAAATTCTGTGGAGACCTCTGATTTGCAAGACCAGATCAGGGAAGGGATCCATTAGTCAGGACTCCTCCAGCCACTGCCCAGTTCCTAATTAATTTCTAATTAATTAATTCTACTCATCTACATATGCCCTGTAATTACATTTTCGACAGCATTAGGCTTTTATCGGCATGAGCCAGGAATGTGGCAGGTCTACCGAGGTCTGTGGCTACGCTGCCAAATTTTTGAGGTAGTTCTGTCCATTCCTTTAGAAGAAGACTGACAGATAAATTTAACTGACCCTAAGGCCGCGTGGTTCTGTGCTTGGCTGGCCATTCTCTAGTCCTGTTGCCTGCAGGTTAGCAACTCATCTGCCAGAGACTGAGCTTTAGTCGTTAGCTTGGCTTGAGCAACCCAGTCGAGGCTATTATGTGCCTTATCAAACAAAATCTCATTCGTTGCGGTGTTGCCTAATATCCCAAAGTGTTTAAACCCAGTTTTTTTTTTATTTCTCCAATGGTTTTTAATTTATTTGTTTGCATAATTTGCAAGTTAAATCAATTCACTGTCCAGTTGCCTTGCCAAATCTTTACGGACTACATTAAAAAGCACCTGTCCCAAGAGCACCTCACTGTGAACATTGCACTGCTCAAGAGCAGCTTTCTACTATGTTTTTTTTAAATTTATCATGTAATCATTATTTACACTGCAATATTTTTTCCCATTAGTATACGGCATTTTTTTCCTTCATATGCAGGCTTTAAGAAAGGATATCTCCAAAAATGTTTTTGAAGATTTAAGTAGCCTCTGTTTGCTAAGTCACAAATGACTTTTTAGAAGAGAAGAGAAACAAAAAAGTGGACAAGAAGAGGAAGGCTGTTATAGAGGACAGGGAAGCCTGATTCTTTTACAAGCCTTCTCAAAGAGCTGTAACAAAACTTTCTAACAATTCCCTACATATTTGGTGCTCACTAACCTGCAGTTCTGCGTACCATTTCAGCTCTTTTAATATTATAAAAGGAATTGATATTGCAGATCTAATTCAATTTTAAGGAAGGGATGTGAAAACTTTATATTAACTTTTTTTTTCTATTTAATTTTTGTATTACTTTTTGTCAGCTTGAACCATCTTTCATAATAGAAAATGTTGAGTGCTTCCTATGCATAATATATAGATACAATCATCAATGTCTCTATGACTTCTTTCAGATCCTATGGGTGAATATAATGCAGACATAAATTAGTCTAGGCAAACCAAGCCTCAAACTGTGAAACAATGGGCTTCATAAGTATATGAGTATTTCTTTAGAAGTCTAGAGGACTACTCTGATGCTTGGTTCGGACACAATCCTTGGTGCTTTCAGCAGTCAAAACCTTGGTCTGAAATAACAGGAGTATTTCCATTTATTTCAATAGACTCTAGCATAAGGCTTTAATTGCTTTGCAGTGCTCACACTCCTTCCTCCTTAAAGGGTACTGGCACGACGGCCACTCCTGTAGTTCCAAAATCCTTGCAACAGGAATCCCTCACGGCTGTAAAAATTCTGAAAATGTATTAATTTATCTTTTTGTCTATTATTTGTTAGTTTTATTGGTATGATGATTTATTTTTTTTTTATTGGAGGAGGTTCTGAGTACTTCTAGCCCTTTTACCTGCCACATTCACATCACCTGCACCCAAGCCTTTCCCTACACTGCTTGAATCTTCTGCTTGAACCTTACACCTCAGTGAAATGAGAAATTCTTCCTGATCCCCATTGTTTATAGACTAGTTTAGTATTTTAGCCTCTCTGTAAGACTTGGTATTGACAAAAATCCAAATGGTCATTTATCACTCCTCAACGGGTGGCTGAGTTTGACAGGACCTGCCCTCCAACCCAGGCTCCCATCACCAGGCTGTGCTTTGCTGCCCTCAGGTCACAAGAACTACCCTTTTGGGTCTCCAACACATTACAATTCTGTCCTACAAAGATGCAGAAACAAGGCTCTGGTCTACGGAGAATTCTAAGTGAATGAAATAGATGATGATTAATTTTCCAATGAACTTGAAATGTAGCAGCTCTATATGGATTATATTTTCCACATATTTTAGAAAACATCCATAGCCTTATTCTAATTCAGTTCTACAAGACCCCATCAGACTGCGGGATTTAGATTTGTGTGTTTAATAGAGAGGGCTAGTGACACAAGTGAAATGGCCTCCATCTAGCTTAAGCCATAACATGGCAGACCTCCAGCTCCTCCTTACCTGGTAAATCATCTTCGTCTTCGCTGAAAACATTTGGATTAAAGACAGGCAAGTTAATGTAGTCCATTGAAATCTTCCGCACTTCTGGGAGATATATTGTCATCTGCCTGGGCTGCAGGTGCAGCAAACTGGTTTTATATATTACTGGAGAAAGAGTATAACAAGAAATAAAAAAAAAAAAATTAAGATCTGTTAAACAAAGAGCATCTAAAGCTAAGAAAGAATCAATTCAAAGCACACAGAGGGCTATGACTATTTTTATTTGATGTATTAATGAATAAATGCATGTAAGGGCCATTCTTAGCCAAATCACTATGTAACGCTGCATAGAAAGGATAAAAGAGACTGTTACTTTCAGCTATTTCTCTTTAAATAGAAGCAGCATCTTTGTAGTTAAATAATCTGTAGAAATAATAAATTAATTCATCTTGTATTCACATCTATTTTTACAGAAGGGAAATAATTTTTCCATTCTACTTTTGGAACTCTTCACCATGGGATGCTACTGATTTATATGAGTTTAGGGGAAAACTGCAAAGCTCTCAGGAAGGAAATCTGTTGAGGGTTACTACATATAAAGAACCCCCTTCTGGTTCAGGAATTCCCTGGGACTCGAACCAGTGGAGACTGGGAGAACATTTGAAGGAAGTATCACTACACACTTACCCTATGCTTATATCCTTCCCTACATATCTCTCACTGATAATGAAAGAATTAGAATGACCTCTGGCCTGATCCAGTAGGGTCATTCTTACACTATATGAAGGAAGTATCACTACACACTTACCCTATACTTACATCCTTCCCTACGTATCCTCTCACTGATAATGAGATAATTAGAACGACCTCTGGCCTGACCCAGTAGGGTCATTCTTACACTATCTTTTGACAACCATTGCAAATGCAGGTGTCAGAAAGTCATAAATTACTTGAAAGAAAAGGGTGGATGGAACAAACCTGAGGGTTTCCACAACACTTTCTTAAGTAGAAGGTGCCACTGCCTTATCATAGTAGCACTGGTTGTCCCCAGGGTGACAATGTCCTGCTAGAACAACTTTTGCCTGGGCCAGAGAAGGTCCTCTCCCCAGTAACTTTCTTAAGTAGAAGGTGCCACTGCCTTATAGTAGTAGCACTGGTTGTCCCCATGGTGACAATGTCCTGCTAGAACAACCTTTGCCTGGAACCTGAACAACCTTTGCCTAGAGAAGGTCCTCTCCCCAGTAGTTGGGACTCTGTTTCTTGTCTAATAGTAGTCAATATAGCCACAAAAAATATCTATTTAACTATTTTTCCATCCAGGGCATCATTATGTAGTTCTGCCTTAACTATACAACGCAACATAGGAAAAAGTAAGTTTTCCAAAGAGCTTGTAAAATTCCTACACTTGCATTAATGTTTCAATTCAGTTCTGCTCGGTGGTACCCTGTTCTTTAGCCTTCCTCCTTTTAACAGGACTATGTAGGGAGAACTGGTGTACCCAGAAAAAGGTCAAAACCTAAACAACTGCTACTTTTAATGAAAGCCATCAGTTTACTGATGCTCCAGCAAAAGAACCGTATGACAAGGCTATGCAGTGACTTGAAGAATCTTGAGCATGATGTTGTAAGAGCTTTTTTAACATTATTTTGGTATAATCAGTAGCTAAATCACTGTAACTGTGAGTTTTAAAAATATTTCTATTACAGTAACTTAAAACCTGTGATTTTATTTTGTCTTTGAATTTTGTCTTGCAAAAATTTTCTTTATTTGTTTGGGATTTGTTGAAAAAACCTGTAAGAATAAAGGTCTGGGACTGACTGTTAATTAATCTTTTATTACAACTGAGATTTTTAACATATTATTGATCATTCCATTATTGCATTTATAGACTTTAATCTCTTTTAGCTGCAGTGAATTTCATAAAATCTAATCCCTACTGTCCACAGAAAATAAGTGCTTTGTTATAGAAGCCTTTTGATCACTTAAAAAGAATCATGTGGCAGAAGTTTGTTGTTTATTAGAGACAGTTGGAGATGCAAAAAACCAATAGAGTTTACTTTTACCTGCACCAAGGTTAGTTGGTAGGAAAGCAGCCAAACCCACGATTTTAAATTTGGTTCCCCAGATATTAGATGTGACCTGAGCAAGGTAGTTGTGCTGCAAAGCAAAAACAAGATCATTTTCACCTAATAAAATCTGTATCAAGCTCTAATAAAAACCTGCAGAGCAATCAAGCTATTGCAAGTGATAATGCAATTTCAGCTTCTCTTGTTTTTATGTTATCGAAACAGCCTAATGTGCCTATCTAGCACCTATTATACCCAGTCGTTAGGAAGTCTCATTTTGATATCTGAACACCATCAAAAATGATGCATACAACAGCTACATAGGCTGATTAAAGCTCTTGAGGAACGGAACAACCTGACAGCTCCTTAGTGAGAATAGGTTGTCTGTTTTCAGACACTTGCTTCTCCTGCACAAAAGCGCAGCGATTCTTTATTTCAGAAAGTAATACACCCTTTGGTTCTATGCTTAAGAATCACTTTATAGAACAATAAGAAAGAAATTAATTACTCATAATGGTAAACATATTTTTCCTGGAGCTTCCAAAGCAGCTTCCCAAATCTCTTGCTTCCATAGTGATACAAATTATGGGTCTGAAAGATCAAAAGATTTTTGCAAAGGCCAAGAGTTATGCCATCAGTATCAGGAGCAGGACCTAAGCCTCTGATCTCTTGCCCTACTCAAAGGACTTTTGGTCCTATCCACCACTGCTGTGTAACTCACCTAGAATGTTTCACTAGAGAGGAAGAAGTAAAATGACAGAGCAGAAAAAAAACCAAATTAAATAAAACAAAGCAAAATTGAAGGAACGCAGGATGGTATAATCAAATGTAACCCAGACAGTTCTACAGCCTGCTAAGTTTCATTTATCTACAGGACATGAACAACACAAAGATCACGAAGTGCTAATCCCTTGCCTGCCTTCCAATTAAGGCCATTCCACATAATTATGACATAGAGAACACGTGGCCCTCTGAAGCATTTCCTTGTCTCTGCAGATTCCTAACAAAGCAGAGAACTATGGTGGCATTAGGACAGCTCTCAGAAACTGAATAAGAAACATTTTCACATATGCTTTTGAACAGCCAACAACATCACCTAGAAAAAAGCTTCTCACATGGATTCACACTGACAGAAGTTAGTGATGTCAGGATTAACATTGAACTGGAAGATACAATTCTTAATTTTTCTATCTAGTAGCTGTAATTAAATAAAAAAATTTTACTAGTGATCATTGGATCTATATCACAACTTGCTGCCTCTGAAAGCAGATGCATTTGGACTCAGGGCCGGTCACAATGTGCACAATACCTGAGTAATGTCTTCTAAAGGAAACTCTCTTCGGGTCAGGCTTGGTGAACCAATAGAAGGTTTCCTTATTGGTAACCTCGGTGATCTTGATATCTCCTGCGCAGCTCGGGACATCTTTGGAGATTTGCGAGCTTCTATATTGATTCTGCATATAAAGCAATTATTAGAATCATCGATGGGCATGCAGAAATGCACCAAATTCATGTATTTGAATGTAAAGATGTAATGAAGACAACTGGTATGGTGTCATCCAAGTGACTAATGAAGACTGTAGAGTCTACAGGATGGAGAGTTATAGGTCAAGTTTCAAGATATATAAGGCCTGACACTGCTGCAGTAACTGGAACTGGATGCCTTCCAATTCATTTAACAAGCTTACAGCAGTTCTACCCGATACAATATATCTTCCACTAATCCATAAAAAGGTGTAGTGCTGAGTTGTGGCCATTATGCAGATATTGAGGAAGAAATGTGCAAGAAAGGATTACCTGGGGAGCTTGGGTGATTTGCTAGCTCGACTGATTTTGGGAGATTTCTTTGCTGCCCAGTCATCACTCAGTTCGATATCGCTGGAGTCAGAGCAGTTGCAGCTGTCAATCACAGTGGAAATCAAGCTGTTTCCATAGATTTCATCTATCAAGACAGGCCCCAGAAAATATAAGTGCTGCTTTGGAAAACTGGTATCAGTTACAACTGTCAGTCACCAGAAACATAAATCCAATCCACAGGCACCAGGTGAGATAAAGCTATGCAGATACAATCAATCGTTCTACACTCTGCCTAGTACCAACTCCAAATATCCAGTGGTTCAAACTCAAATGAACATGATTTAGAGGGGTGAATAGCATTGAATCAACTTCAAAATCGAGACAAAAGAGTATCTTGTGCTAGTTAGCAATGTATTCCCTGCCATTCAAAATACAAGAAGTTCCCTTTTGTAAAACAGAAGACAGCATGGTATGATTTCAGAGGCTTGAGCCTAGGTAATGCTGAAGAGGTTTTTTTTGCATCAGAAAAAAAATATCAGATGCCACCTTCTGTGTTGCATATATAGATTTTCTTTAACTCTTTATATTAACTTCAATATCTAAAGTCTTTCTAAACCATTTTTTATACACAGCAACAATTCAGTTCTACCTGCTTTTCCATCTGTTTTAGGATCCATGATAACAAACTCTGGCCGCAACTTGCTGATACGACGTCCCTTCAGGATAGGCACCAGTCCTCCAAGGTATTCCAGGTACAGGGTGTAACATGGACCACCAACCTCTGGGTCATCTTCTGTCCTCTTCATCGTGCAGTGAAGACGTTCATTACCAGCTGTTGGGTAGCTGACAAAATCTCTCATATTGTTTGGGTCTGGGATAGGAGGCTTAATTAAATGAAGGAAGGAAAGAGAAAGTTTCCTAGAGGTTATTGTTTGGTTTCTTTTTCTGTGGTGACTTAATGCTAACACAGCTAACTGAATTTGAACCCAACTCTAACTTGGCAGGTCAAGATTAGTACAGGCTAACGTGTGAGTTCTGCAGGACCCACACACAAGACAAAGTGGCTGTGTATTGTTTATTTAGGTCAAAAGCAGTTGTACACAGAAAACTAAAATTAGTTACATCAAAGAGGAAGGATGGCTCTGTGGTTAGAACACTGATTAGACAACAAAGCTGTATTTCATTTGTATAGAACACTGATTAGACAACAAAGCTGTATTCAAGTCCCAGCTTTATCACAAACTTCTCTTTTAACTGGGGTAACATGGTCAGGTCTAAGTCTCAGAGTACCTTGTCTCTTGCTGGGGCTCCCAAGTGAACTTGGCCACTCAGGTTCCCCTTCTGGGTTGGTGCTGGTACGTGCTATGCCACTATGCTACAATGCTGTCAGCTCAGAAAGAAGCTTCTACCTCTTGTATCACTTCCAAGCACATGAGCCATCTTTGCTGAGGGCCTATTTGTGTGTAATGTGGAGAAGTATGAGCACAAAGCTCAGAGTGGGTTACTTTGCCCTGTTTCCAGCACACCATGTATTAATCCATGAAGAGCTCTTCCCTAAAGCAGTTGGACTGCTTTTGTCTAGGACAAGATGGCCTGTATGACACAGACACTACTAATGCATATAACTCAACACAGTTTCTTTCAAAATGAAAATATTTGAAAAGAAATGTAGGGGGGAAAAAGGAACCTCTTAACCTGGTGAGATGGATATGGGCTGAAGAGAGATCTGTAATGTAGTCCTCAAGCTGGAGGGGGAAGAGGGATGTATGCAGGGAAGAGGGTGCCTTGCCAGGCACTGGAGGCACGGCTGACAGTGTAGGTGGGAGTATTTGGGCTGGGGAAGAGCCAGGGTAAAGCATAAAGCAGTGCTGAGGAGGCTCAAGAGACACCCATGAAAGAGCAAGGGCACGTGGCTTCTGGGAACCCTGTTTCAGCCTCTCAGCTACACACCCCTACAACCAACTCCGTGACAGTGTAGGTGGGAGTATTTGGGCTGGGGAAGAGCCAGGGTAAAGCATAAAGCAGTGCTGAGGAGGCTCAAGAGACACCCATGAAAGAGCAAGGGCACGTGGCTTCTGGGAACCCTGTTTCAGCCTCTCAGCTACACACCCCTACAACCAACTCCGCTGATTGCAAATTAGTTATTCGAGCTCTGCGTTGTTTTAACAAGGACCTAAAACCAGCTCAAGAGAATGCTACAACACATACACAAAAAAATATGGAACACAAAAATATACGTCTGAATATAGGGCATTTCCCAGCTAATGCTCTAGTTTACAGGCAGTGATAGAGAGTTTGGAAATCCTGAGATGTGACTGAGGGCAAAACCATGAAACAAAGGGGTTGAGCAGATGGCTCTGCGTGTCGTACAGGAAAAGGCATAATATTTGATTCCTTTTCCCATAGCACTGTTGGAGCAGTAGGGTTAGCAGAACTCACTGCCAGTAGAAATATTCAGGCAGCCACAAGTTTTAAGTATAACTTTTCTGGCAATATAAGGACTCATCTATCAAGTAGGGGAAGCAACAGTTTTACCACTTTGAATCCCTCCTATAACTGTGACACAATATTATCATCAGCGTGAGCTTCTTCAGAAGTCTTTGTGAGTCATCAGCATATTTTACCCTCGGATGGGCCATCCCCATGGAATAACACAGATCAACACGTGTCAGCCTTCCTCTCAGGTTTTAATAGTCACCAAACGGATCAGTAGGCTCTTGAAGAAGGCAGGAATGACCCTTAGTCAAGCTTTTAAAATGGTAATTATGATAATTATAATATCTTTGAATTCATCCATTGTCACTTAGGAGCAGCGAGGAGCGGGGGAAATCAAGCAACCCTTTCCTCTCCCTCTCACACACGCGTTTTTCTTTCCTTTTACCTTGATTGTTGGTATAAAGGCAGTGGTGAGGTACGAGCAGAGCCGAGGAGGCAGGGTCAGTTTGCTGATGTCCTTGTCATCCCGCAGACAGCTAGCGATGGTCTGCTGGCACAGCAGCTGCAGGCTGGAGACCCTGTGCTCCACTCTGACAACGTACAAGGCAGGTCCAGAAGCCATCAGCAGGCGGGAATCCCTGTGACCCCAACAGATGGAGATGATGGGACGCTGCGTGGGGAGGAAAAGGACACCACTTTCAAAGAGAGTACACCTACTCCAAGATAGCTGCACAGCAAGTGATTGCATGAATCCAGCACCAATCGTGTTACCCAAGTCTTCCAGAAACTTAAATGCTATTGCCCACAAGAAGGGAGAAGAATGTGAACATCTGAAGTTATCGATAAGAGTGGTTGATGTGTATACAGTGCTTTTTACTCACAAGGCTTAAAGCTCTGTCCACCAAATTCATTACCTAGACAGGACGAATGACTTAAAAAGTCACACAGTGCTACAACACATCTTTTGATGCCCTCTCCAGGTCATTTCTTCAGTCATCTAATCAATCCTCATCCACTGCTGATGGCTCACATTTTACAAGGGAAAAGTTAAATTAGATGCCCATAGACACTTTGTAAACTAGCGGATAAAACCCAATTGGCTTTCTTGTCTTGCACTGAGTCTTCTGCTGCACAGTGTCTCTTCTGAACTATTCCCAAAGGAAATGAGCTGTGAAAGAGCACGAGGAACAAAACAGACAATGGCCTTTTGTCTTCTGCTGGTCTACATTCAGAAATGTCCAAATTTCTGACAGTAAAACCAGAAAGAGTCAGGGGTGACTAGTACTAAGTGTCAGAACAAGGAGCAGAATAACAATAAACAAACGCTGCTTTGGACATTATTCCCTGCTGCATGAACATTAAGAGTTGATGTGAGAATACTGGGTTGTGCTTGCAAGGAGCTCTCTAGTGTCTTCCCAAACCCCAACTTTTCAATGTAAAGCACCAATCTGTTGTGATCTCTTATAGCCCTATCACTATTACTTTTGCTCTTCACGAGTGTTAGCTGCATCCACCTGTGATCTCTTGCTTTCTGTGTTTCAAAGCACGTGTTATTTGCAAATGTACACACATTGTATGAAATTTCAGTTCCATAGCTGCTCTCTCTACACAAATAAGCAATGCAAAACTCTCACACCATGAAGAACACTGTGCAGCCGCCTGTAATCAGTGAACTACAAAAGGTTGGCTCCTTCCTGCGAAGGGGTCCCTTCTTTTCACAATCCATGACACTCAAAAGTTTAAGCAAACATGTTTTTCATCTAAATTATGAACTGTATTTACTGAAAGCTCAGGGTCTCTTTGGAATATCTTTGCTCTTCACAAGATGTACCAAACTAGAATTAACTATACAGAAGACAAGAGTCAAGGCACCACCAGTAGTAACTCTTATCCACTCCTCTCTAGTAACATGATACCCAGATACCTGGGTTAGATCAGGTAACCAGAAGTTACTAATCTATCCTGGGGAAAAAAGCTTTCCCTTCAGTTACAAGTTCAAGATGCTTAAAGGTGAGAAACATCTTCACGAGTGTTAGCTGCATCCACCTGTGGTCTCCTGCTTTCTGTGTTTCAAAGCACATGTTATTTGCAAATGTACACATATTGTATGAAATTTCAATTCCATAGCTGCTCTCTCTACACAAATAAGCAATGCAAAACTCTCACACCATGAATACTGTGCAGCGGCCTGTAATCAGTGAACTACCAAAGGTTGGCTCCTTCCTGCGAAGGGGTCCCTTCTTTTCACAATCCATGACACTCAAAAGTTTAAGCAAACATGTTTTTCATCTAAATTATGAACTGTATTTACTGAAAGCTCAGGGTCTCTTTGGAATATCTTTGCTCTTCACAAGATGTACCAAACTAGAATTAACTATACAGAAGACAAGAGTCAAGGCACCACCAGTAGTAACTTCTATTCACTCCTCTCTAGTAATACGGTACCCAGATACCTGGGTTAGATGAGGTAACCAGAAGTTACTAATCTAGCCTGGAGAAAAAAAGCTTTCCCTTCAGTTACAAATTCAAGATGGTTAAAGGTGAGAAACGGGGACAAGATGTTTTCATGTGAATGATATAAAGCAGAATGCAGCTGCACAGCACTATATCAATGTCCATCATCAAGATAAACGGTTGGACGAAATAACTTTTCCAGAGAAAAGATCTGCCCTGCTAAAGTCATCTTATCCTAGATTTAAATTTCAAGGAAAATATTAGTTTTAAAGTGGGAGGCATGAAGCAGCTCCATTTTCATTACATCCAGGCAACACCACACACACACATACTTCCATGGAGGCACGAAGCTTCAGGCTGACTGATATGCAAATGGCAGCAGCAACATGTGAACCTTGTGATTTTCACAGTAATTGCTAAAGGCATTTTGTAGCAAAGAACTTTAAAAGAAGTGAAAAATCCCTTGTGTACCATCAGTAATTATTACATGGCTTGTCATTATCATAATCTGTGGGACAGCCTTAAATCTGGTGAGATATCACATAAAGTATCCCTTACTGATTGGTATTGTCATGATTTGAGTGTGTGGCTCAGCCCTAATATTGTCTGGCAGTAATGAGAGAGTTCAAGCTGCTTGGAAAATAAAGGCAAGTTAGGAACCTGCCACATCTACTGTGTGACAGCCTGAGAAAGGCATCAGTAGAAGTGACCCTGATTACCTCAAGGGCTGAATTCCAGCATGGGCACAACTATCTACCTGATCATTACCATGGGATCCAAACTGCATCCTTGTGTTCACCTTGCATCAATTAAAGTTTACCTATAAATACAGGGAAGGAACAAACAAGCATGTGACTCAGCACACAAATGTTTATTTATTGGATAGAGCTTCATGCCAGAAGAAGAAGTCTAATATCCCAGCTATCATAACCTGAAACAGCACACCTGGACAGCCCTGCCATGAAGTCTAGTATTGCAGCTATTATAACCCAATATATCACATCCAGATCCAAATAATCACTTCTCTCCTCAGGCTACCGCTGCATACAAAGGAGAGCAGAGATGCAGGCAGCACCAGTGCAAGAACCTTTGCAGTCTTAAGCATATTCCCAAGCTTTGAAATGCTGGATGGGATCTCTGGCAACGCAGCACTGTGAAGCTGAAAGTCAGAAGTCGAAAGACATTGCCTCCACTGCATGATTTCACCACAGTTTCCCAACAGGCAACCACAGCTCAGCTATCTTCTAAACTTCTCTACGTCTGATTCCCTTATGTTCTGTTTACGTGTTTTTATGTAAACAATATGTGAGTGGGTGCATGTTTAAATACATGCACACACACAACAATACCTGAGTGTCGTACTGTTTGTAAATCATGACATTTCTACTCCTACATTTGTAGGTTCAGTCTCCCTACACACCTCACAGGTTTTAATTTTAGCATTTTTAATCTCTTCGAAGAGCATTTGTCCCATCCTGGTTTGTCTTTGCTTACCAATTCACCAACAAGCTTTGCCTTCCTCTTCTACAGAATGGTCAGTCCCCCAGCACTCCTCAAGCCTAATATCCAGCAACACTTCATTTGTGCTGAAAGGCTAAGATTTAAGATGAGGTTCAGGGAAAATTAGCCTGTCATTACAGGCTTGGAGAAATAAAAGATCACCCAAATGTCAGATCTGACCTGACCTTTAAATGTACTGCTCCAATAATATTTTTCAATAACTACACTTCCCACTCTTTCCCTTGAAGGACAAGGGATATGAATCAATTACTGCAGCAAGTCAGTTATGAGCTGGCCAAACTCTGCTGAGAAAAAAACAATTGAACTCCAACATCCAACAAAAGAGTATTGCTCCTCATAAAGCATCCACTTATTTACATTGTTTTAGCAAAAAGAGAAAGGAAAAAAGTTGCTGATACCCATATTGCACCTGTTAGAAAATGAACAAGCAGATTCTAGCACAGAAGAATTTTACTTTCCATGTTTGCACATTTTTTTTTCTGCTAGGAACAAAGAAATGCAGCTACAAAAATAAAGTCTAATGATGATTTCTAATCTCACTTTGCATACAAAAATTCCATCAGGTTTTGAAAAGTCTCAGCACAAACCGCAAACACCTGAATGAATTCCAGGGCTTAAATACTAACATGTAGGAACTTCTACACATAGATAGGATTTAGCTCTATGATATTTATATATTAGAAATAATTGGGTAAAGGGCAAAAAAAATGAGATGTTTTATCAAGAGAAATATTGACTGAAAACGTATCTCAAAAAGCAGCCAACAAGGAGCTCTTTTACCATTTTTTTTCTGAGTGGGCTTGAAAGTCAGCTACATCCACTCAAACCTGTACACCCAAGCTGGGAAGTCAACTCCCCTTAGAAAAGCATGCAGGAATGGATATTCCTGCTTAGAATCTGTGGTTGCTTCTTGTTAGTCACTCATCTACTCATCTTACAGGAGAGAACACAATACCTTTCATCACTTGTATGCAGTTCAGTCAGTGAAAACACTGGTCAAGCTGTTTCTTGCTGCCTGCCTTAAGCTCAGAAATCCTGAGCCATGGGGCCTGCTGGCTGCTTGCACTAGTCCCTTGGCTGCTGGCACTGGGAGTCCCACTGGTAATGAAATAAAAATGATATTCTGGGGCAGAAAGCCCAGCAACAAGTGCGTTTTTTTCTCAGGAGGAAGAACCCAACTGCAAAATAGTATCTAGCAAACGGTACGTGTGAGGAAAACTCTGATGTGCTTTGCCTGATTTCTCTCACTTTAGGCTGCTCACATGGAGACACATGTTTTTCCTTCTGCTTTTTTCAGAGAGAAGCTGGAAGGTGCAGAGGCTGCAGTGCCCACCTGGCTCTTGTGAATTGTGTGTGCACATCTCCACACTGCCACAGCATTCATGGATGGCTGCTGGAAAGTAACGCAACTCCCTCATTCTTCAGTTCTCCATATTTACAGTTGGAATAATATTAACTAGTACGAATTGATGGTGATAAAAGGAAGAAAGACTATGATGTGGTCAGAAATTACGCTGCTGTGGCCTTACATAGAATCATAGGATTGTCTAGGTTGGAAGGGACCTTTAAGATCATCTAGTCCAACCATCAACCTAGCTGATAAAAAAACATCACTAAACCGTATCACTAAACTCTATGTCAACCTGTCTTTTAAATATTATAAAAAAACATCACTAAACCATATCACTAAACTCT